TATATAGTTACATTCTCTTAATGAATATAATGATTTGTTCTAATGGTGTTTGTAAATAGGATCTCAAGTCCGCATCTTGTACAGCAATTAACCACTAAGAGGAATATATGCAGTGTGTTAGTTATTGAAACTGTACTACCGATTTGATTTGAAACTGTCTCATTGCTATCTGTTTATCAATAAAATTTTGGAAAAAAACCCTAAATATTTCTGATCTCTTGAGCTAGGAACATAGTTTACTAGTAGAGCACTTCTCCTGCTTGTGTAAGGCCCTCGTTTGATTCAATGGAGTAAAAAACAGAAAAAAAGAATCATAAAAAGCCTTTCCACTCAAATTTTAGAAGTCAAACACTAAATCCTAAGTGTTCTAACCCTAAGGATTTTTTTTTTCATCTCAGAAACTGACAGGTTTCAATTTCATCATGAAGGAACTGAACAGCTACAATTTGATACATAAGATTTCAATGTTTCTTTTGCACCTGTCACCCTGATTAAATATCAGTTTTTATTTGTATATCAGACAGTGAGAGTATATCACAACACAAGATGTGGGATTGTTTTGTGTGTTTGGCTATTGTCTTAGTGTGTGCTATGGCTTGTGCCTATATGTACCCAGCAAAGCCTCATGCACTCATAGCTGGGACTTCTGGGAGGTGGTTGGATCAGGATGTATGACACGAGGGTTAACGATGTATGGTAACTAAATTGGTTTAGTAGAGTTCTGGATGTAGATAATGTGAAGACTCACTCTAGGTTTGGGAGGTACCTTCCAATAGGCTTGTAACCTTGCTGAGATAAAGGGAAAGGGAGACTTCCTGCTGCTCCCCTCTTGCTTCCTCCTGCCTACCCTGCCATAGGCTGCTTCTTTTCTCCCATGTTGCCCAGCCCTAGAGCCATCCAACTACGGACTGGAACTTCTACAGAGTGTGAGCTGAAATAAATCTTTTTTTTTTCCCTTAAATTTCTGAGTGTCATGTACTTTGTTCCAGCAACAAGGAAACTAAGACAGTCTGCATTGCACTACTATCCTAAAATACCTGGGACTAGTCAATTTATGGAGTAAAAACTGATTTCCACACAGTTCTGGAGACCAAGTCCAAGATCAACTCTCTTTCATCTAGCAAAGGAATTCTGTTTATTCCATGGTTCAAAGTGAGAAGTCAAAAGGAAAGAAACAACAGGAGGCCAAACTTTTTGATATTAGGGAATTCCTTACCTTCATTCATCTAGTTCTCATGAGGTAAATTTTCCATCATTCATTTTAGTTTATTGCCTCAATTGTGACCTCTTCCCATTGAAATTGAGAGAATTGTCTGGTTGAAAAGTCTGGAAGAGGATTTGAACATGTGAATTCACCTTGTGTTTTAATTCTTTTACAGGAGTAATTTACAGTCCTAATGACATCTATTGTCACTGCATCTTGGAGAAATAGGCCTTCTTCTAGGACCTGCACTGAAAACATTTCATAGCTTGAACCAAAGTTGAAACATGAATTTTATTTTGTTTTTGTAAATCAGACAATTTATTCAGAAGCAGCCATTATACTCTGCAGGCATGGAATTCCCCAGGCAACACTGTAATGTACCATACAGGCAGCCACTGAGCTAATGTTTTTATTTTTATAGGTTTTCTACTCCAGAAAAATAAAGAGCATTATGTGCTGTCCACAATGTTTGAACAGCACTGAGGCAATTGCCATGTTGGTGTTTGGCTAATTAAGGACCACTTGGCAATGAACATTAGTACTTTGGGACTGCTACAAAGAAATATGATAAACTGAGTAGTTCATGTGCATTAGAAAAAAGTTTTTCTGGTGATCAATAGACTTGTAAGACCAAGATCAAGGTGCTCACAGGTAAGGCAAGGACTCCAGTAAGGGTCTTCTTTGAGATTGGTAGTAGAGTTTTTGTTACAGACTCACATGACCAAAGGCCAAGGTGTCCTTCTAGGTCCCTTTTAACAGTGTCATGAATACTGTTCATAACGGCACAATGTTATGACACAAATCACTATGTAATCCAGTCACTACAATAACCATCTTACAGTGGGCCATATTTCAATTTTATTTGTGTTGAAGTTCAAATGTAATGGGTGCCTTACATGACTGCTAAGTGATGCATTCAGTTAACATATGTTTCTGATCCTTCTTTTCCTGCATGTGATTTATCAATAATCTCACAAATACAAAGCTGGTGCCTAGCCAGCGGTTAGCAATTTGGCATACACATTTAAATTCACTTCTTACAGTAATAGTGCAGGGCAGACCCTAGCTTCCCTGTTCAAAAGATAAACCTAGGTTTGTCAATCTTTGTAAAGTGAAACATCATAATAATACATCTGATTCTTCTCAGGGTCATCAAAATCTTAAAAACAGAGTAGAATAGAGGTTCACCAGGGCAGAGAAGAGGAGAATGGGAAGCTATTGCCTACAAGATATAAAGCTCACTTTTTAAAAACAGAGTTGTATCTTGTTGCACAGGTCCTGCTTTACCTTGGTCTTAACCATCCAGTAGAAAAGTATGAAGATGAAATATAGGAAGTAAAGCCATGTTGTGATGTTGAGCTATGGGGGACTCAGGTCAATAATTTCTGACATTGCCAGTTAAACAGAAGACCCAATGCTATTATGGGCTACTGGACTCTTTTAGAATATTTTGCTGAGTTTACACACCTATTGACTCAGCCCGAGAGTCGAGACATGGGGTAATGACCTGGAGGAGGAACGGGGATGAAAAAGACAGGGCAAGAGACATGAGAGACGGAGACAAGACAGGCTTTCTGATCAAGTCTCGTTTATTGAAGAAGTGAACAGGGGCTAAATAGCTGTATAGTGGAAGTAGTTGGGTGGGACTAGTTGTGGATTGGTAGTGAAGATCCAGGACCAGAGGAAGATGTCGAGGCAAGCGGGGATTGGTGCTGCAACACTTCTTGCCCAAATAAGGGAAAACATAACAGGAGCGTTCTATCGCCCCCCACATATCCCCCCTTTTTATTAAATACATCAAGCGGAAATTGACAGTGCCCTGCGGGGACAATGCCTGGCTTGGGTCAAGGACTCCTTCACATGAGATTGACCAGACCTTACCCGTCGTGGGATTGCAGGGTGGCAGTAGGCCCTGTTCCTGTCTTAGGCGGTCGGCGGTACTGCATGTGGGTCCTCGTTGCCCGTCATTGACTACCTGTCCATCTCACCAGGGGACCTACATCAGATTAGGCCACATTATGATAGGGTCCATTTGGGGGAACCCTCTCACGATACTCTTGATGATCTGCCATTTCCAGCTAATGATAATGTGTCTGAATGGGCTTTGCAGCAAAGGCATCTAAACGTGAGCTGATGAATGTTGTAAGTTTTTGAAAAATGCAAGGTCATATCATGAGCAAGAGTAGGAGTGAGAAGAGGGGTCCCAACAGGGGCACAAGGTAGGTGAACATTCCTCCCCATAGCGAGGAGAAGGGGTCATCCACAAGCTGTTGTCTCCACTTGAGTTGTTGATCCTGAAGCTCTCAGATTTTGTCTTGAACTATGCCTGATTTATTAACATAAAAAAACACTTTTCCTGTAAAGCAAGACATATTTCCCCATGCTCTGCTGTCAGAAGGTCCAAGCCTCTCTTTTGCAAGACCACTTCTGCTAGCAAATCTATCTGGTCTTGGATATCTTGGATAGTACCAGATAATGCTCGAACATCATCAATCAGCTGGTTAGATAATTTAGTATAAGAATGTACTGCTACCGTCAACCCTGGTGAACCTGTCCCCGTGACCACTGTAATTTTCAGCCCCAGTAGTAAGGGGATGAATTGGACTGTCCTCTTTTTGCGGCCTTGGAAGCAGGCCTGGGCATTCTGCTGTTATGGCTTTCTAATAGTGAGGCTTTAGGTTTTGGGAATGTATGTCTCTTGTAAGAATTCAAATAAGGGGAGGGCCAAGGGCAACTTCTTGGCTGACTCAGTTGTTTTAGTTGTTTTCCAAGTAACAGGACCCCATTCAAGGTTTTCTTATGTCCTCTTTGTTTTAGGAACATGGATTGCTCAAGCTCTAGGGCCGTAAACCAGTGAGTGGGTCCTTTTAATTGAAACACATTTTATCTATTTATTTCTATATGTGATCTTAAAATTATTTGGGCTTTACATTTCCCTCTTTTGATGTTGGAAATCTCTAATCTTAGAGATCTGAGTTGTTAGTAGCTAGGGCCTCATATTGTTGGCGAATAATCATAAGTTTAACATTACCTATCTGTTCACGACCATTAGACAAGACATACCCATGTGATATGAAACAAGTTCCTGGGTGGTATTTATAAATTGGGACAGGTCATAGATTGCTGGAGTACCAGTATATAGAGGGAGACTGGGGGAAAGACAAAACCAAAGAAACAAATAATAATATCAACAGGATACAGTAATCATTTAGCAGATCTGGAATACAATAACCTTCGGAAATTTGTAATTATAAAAACACTAGTCAGAACATTTTGTAGATCTATTAACAGAGATCTTTTAAATGTGAGGTTTAATCTCTGTATCTTTCATGGCCACTGGGTATTGTCTCAAACTGGCCTACTCTTGTGTTTTACCAACTTTACCATTACTGGGGGCACATGAATTGTCAGACCTAGGGAAAGTACTGAGTACTCTCCAGTTTGTAAGTGGAGTTATTGGCTGGGTATCTACTGATGAATCTGTACAAGCATCTATTAAAAGTTTCACAGGCTTTCTCCTTATATTGGCAGTTAACATGGGTTCCCTTAGACTGAGAGGGAAGACACATGACCACCTCAATCTGAAACTTCCTCTGACTCCATCATAAACACTTTCTTTTTCCTTCTCTAGCAGCTGTGGACATTTACCTTCCTTCCTGTAGACTACTAGTATCAACATTCTCATTTTCCATCTATAATTCCATTCTGTATCCTTTCTACTATGAAATACCTCAATTCAGACAAATTCATTCCTGCAAAACCTTCTAACTTCTGTAGCTTGTGTTAGATATCTGGGGTCCACTGCATAAGGTACAACTTTTTGGTTCCTGTAGGTTGTCTTGTCCAAGGAACACGAATATAACTTTCCTCATGATGAGGCAGGAAACCCAGAAAAGGCTCAGATCACCTGGGCTCTATCAGGTGGGCAGTTATATTAGGCTTTAATATGTGTTTTTACAGACAAAATCTGGTGGATCCCCACAAAAGGAATCGTAATCTAGCATATTTGTTAACAGATTTTTTCTGCATGATTACCTGGGCTTTAGTATCTTCTAGGACAGAACAAATTTTCTGAGCAATTAGAACATATATAATCAAAGCATGAA